TGGAAAGGAACACCAATTAGTTAATACAGACCTGACCACTTTCGAACATATCACAAAATTTCACTCCAATTAAAGACATCTTAATTTACTAATTATGTTGTTATTAAATAAAAATAATAAAAAATGCATGACATCTACAAGTACTTGAGTCAAAGCCTCACTCGTTATCTGCCTGTTGGTGATAAGTCTAATTTACATCCGGAGTATTATTTTTATTAAAGCGGAAAAGGTGAAAGAGACTTCCATATTTCCACCAAAGTTATAACATGGATCCACCATCATTATTCACTTAACAATTGCAATTTTCCATGATTTCTCAATTTGAACTGATGATGGCATTGCTAGTGAAAGTGAATTTTGAAATTTCTCGAGAATATTACTTTGTTGTTGGCCATTGTGCATTGATGAATACAACATAAATTTAACATGACTTCAACCAATCAAAATAAATCACACACAAGCGGTATGAATATAAGTAAGGAGGATTTCATTCCAACCTCAGCTAATGAGCTCCCAGTCGATCTCTTTATGGTATTTATAAGAACATTCACATGTTTAAAAACTTCTCAAAATTTTCCTTAGCTAGTGATATTCACAAAACAGGCTCCCTAGATGTAGAAGTATGACATTTGTATATCTCCCTCTTTTTGACGTTACTTTTGAGTAAGAAATGTCCTATATATTTGATTTTTAAAAAGATGGTGAGAAATAATGTGTGGATTTTCTTCATCTAGTGATGATAACTTCTCCTTTTTCACCACTAATGAAGGCGGAAGCTTATACTATGCTGATCAACATTGAAACTAGGCTCAAGAGTCTAATGCCTCTAAGCATTAAAAACCCTATACCACCGACCACTACGTACGACATTACTCCATCATTGTGTCACCAAATTAGGATTTCTTAATAGGAAAAAAGCTCAAGTAGCCCGGTACCTAGGCATCAGTTAGACTGTAGCATTAAAATTATTTTCCTTCATTCCCTAAAGAAGAAAAGGCATAAATTCCAACTATGTAATGCTCAACCTCTAGTTACGTTAGGGTTTGTTTCCTTCTCTCTATGATTTTGCTTTGAGGTAGTGTGGCCCCGGCTCCACTTTTGAGATCCGACTCCTTGTTAGTTAATACGCGTATAATACACGTATAATACGCTTAAACGTATAATACACGTATAAAACATCTGTTTAAGTATTTTTCCCAAAAAATCGTTAAAATACGCGTATTTTAAAGGTAAAACGTATAGTACTCGTATAAATCCGTATTTATACGTATTTGAATTTTAAAAAAAGTACAACTAAAGACTAGACCCAGTAAAGCCTAAAGCGTACATACCGTTTCCACAAAGCCTAAGACCCCAAAAATACTTCGTATTAATAATGTGGGCTATAGTGCAGCTGTCCAATCAAATAATAAAATGCCTAAGGTATAAGGAACCAAAGCAAATTAAAGACCTAGCACAATAGCAGCCTACAGGCGGCGGCAAGCTTCACCCTCCAAGGTTACTCTCTTATTAAGCTACAGTGTATTCTTAATATCCATTAAATCCATTCCTTTAGTCATTTAACTAATATTTAAATTGTCACTTGTTATTTACTCTGTATTAATTCACTAATCTCTGTATGAAGTTTTCAACTTTCATAGTTTTATCAAGGGCAAAATAAATAATATACCTCGAACATTGTCTTGGTGTGAGCTCCACACCCTGTACTTGTCCTAGTTTAAAAAATACCCTAAACTTTATTTTTTAAAATTTTTGGTACCAAATTTTAATTATCAAATAATATTTCTGAAAATTAAAACATGTTAAATAGATTTAGTTGGCAAAAAAAGATGAACGATTCCCAAGAAAATGTGTGCTTTCATGGGTGGTTTAGTAGGACATGGGGCATAAACATCTCAATTTTACAAAGTATGGAATATTTATACAATTTGGACAAGTTTGGGGTGGAGATAACACACTTATGCAAAGTTTAGGGTATATTATTTATTTTCCCCGTTTTATTAATGTTGTTTTTTAAAATATTATGTATAATTCTTTTCTCCCATTCGTCTCATGATTTTATGAAGTTAGGTTTTATCATTGAAAATCCTCTTTCATTTGTCATGAAAACTTGTTATTGTTCTTCTTTAATTTGGATTTAGTTTTTTTTTGTGTGATTTCCATAGAGAATTTAAAGTTTGAATCATTTTATTTAAAATTGGTTTTTTTATTCTAGTTGTTGCATCATATATCTAAAAATGTATATTTCTTTTGTAGGAAAAATTGCATCTTAAATCATTGAAAATTGTTGAGATGTTAACTAATCATTTTTTTTCTATCAATAATTTAGTGAAATTAGTGTATATATAGACACGTATGATATGCCGTATTTTTAAATTATTAAACGTTTAAAACACGTACGTATCCGTATTCATGCCGCGAACGTATATAACATATATTAAGCCGTATTTTATAAAAGTGTGACATATTATACACGAACGTACGTATTATTGTATTAATCACGTACCGTATATTACTAACAAAGATCCGACTACCCAAGATAGTGTGGACCCGGTTCCACATTTGAGATCCGACTGTACTAAAACTAGGCAGGTATCTAGTAAATCACTCAAATCAAAATTGCTTCTAGTCTTCCATGATGGAATGATGAACCGAACTACTTCTTGTCACCTCATATACTCCTTACGTTTCACAAAATTTGGCCAAATTGATTTCTCTTAGTCAATGATAATGAATTTTGGGAAATGAATTTAGTTGCTATATTTGTGTGAAATTTATCATCCCTCTCTCCTTTTATTTTATTGTTTATCTTCTAGATCTATTTATGTTATTTTGTTATTTTTATCTTCTAGCTTTTTTATGCTATTTTATCTTTGTATCTTTTATGTTTCTTATGTTCCTATGTTATTGTTATCTTATCCGCTTTATCATACCTTTTTTTCTTCGCGTTTGTCTCCTCTTTTTTGCACTGATATCATAGATCGATTCATGTTAGCTGACTTCAAAATCTTTTGGAATTAAGGCTTGGATTTGTTGTATTTGTATGAAATTTATGAATTCTATATGATTTAATTTCATATTTTAAATAATTTCGTATTAATAAATATCATTAGTCAAATTTCACCATATTTGACCCAAAAAAATCAATATGACCAAGTTTTGTGAGACAAGGGGACATATTTTTTCAAGCAAAGAAATTAGACATAATTGATTTCAGAATCGGACCAACACTAATTTTATAATTCAACCAGTACTGGTTTGGGACTGAAACTAGTTCTTATCATAGCCAGAACCTAATCTTAACGGCCTGGGTTCCCCCCTATCATGACTGAGGATTTGATTTTTCTTGAATTTTCCTCATTCCAGTATTTCCAATCATGACTAGAAATTGGGTTTAACCACCGGTGGGCGTAGCTCAACTGGTAGCGAGAGAGTGCCACAAGGGTTAGATCTCGGGTTCGAATCCCGGCAACTGCGCTAAGAGGTTACTATGCTGAAAAATGCATAGGGCCTCTGTAAGTACTGGGGAAGGAGCCCCACTCTCTATCTGTCAGATTGTGATTATAGTCCAACTTACATCCTCCCATCGTGCTGTCCGGTCAGTGTTGGGGGGCCCTCAGGGATGGAGTGTCATCTTTTTTTTTAGAAATTGGGTTTAACCATTGCAAAGAGGACTATGAGTTTGTTTTTGAAGACTGACGGGTTGGGTGAAACTTCAACGACCAAGTCTTTTGATTTTGCCTAGGGGTGGACTCGGGCCGGCCCAGATCGGGCCCGACGGGCTTTCTTCTGCAAGACTTTGGCCCATGTACTAGCTCAGGTATGCTCCGGAACGGGACAGGGTCGGGCGCAAACAGTACCGGCCGGGCTGGACCGGGTCGGACCGGTCGGTACCACCTATTTCATTAAAAAATAGTACAATTGGGAGCGGATCGAGCCGGGCCCAATCAATCGAGCCCAAAGCCCGCCCTTTATAACCACCGGGCCGGGTCACCCGGTTCACCCAAGCCGCCGGCCCGCTCGGGCCCAGTCCACCCCTAGTTTTGCCAGAAAGGAAGTTCTCTGGACAGGATAGCCAGTAAGCGTCCTATAGAGGGTGACATTGATACAAGACACATCTATATCATGTGGGCAATTTAAGTTAAGTGGGATCAAGAGTGACAATCCCACTGAAGGGGGCAGGTCTTGATCAACGATCAAGCATTCAAGTGTGAGGTGGTTCACAAAGAAGATTCATGTTCTTTATCCTCTTGATGGTTTTCTGTTTTTCTTACTTTTTGTTTCTCCATTGTTTGTCCAATCCAGTAGCTACAAGCCTACAATTATGTTTACTACCCTGTTAGCCATACAAACGTAGTCAACTTGTCGAGTCACTCGAGTGAGAATCACAGAACCAACCAGTCATATTTAGGAAGGTCGATTATAGTGTAGTAGTGTACTAAGTAATAAGGATTAGTTGGTTGTTTTGGTTAGGTTAGAGTAATTTAGTAGTCTCGCTTTAGAAATGGTGATCATCATATACTCTGCAAAAGAATAGGAATAGTGTGTCGTGCATGAAGACTTGAAGTCTTGAAATTATGTTTTATAAATAAGAGAGTTTATTAAAGAATATGTGAATTTGGCTCTTATTTTGGATTATTGGTTAGTGTGGAACTGTGGATTGTGGATGACTTAGCACTACAAATGTGTAAAATGACTTGGAATGATATACGAATTATAAACAAAAGAACTCGAATAAGTTGTAAAGAACATGGCAAGAATGAAATCCAAGCCCACAAGGTTTATCATGTACCAGACTAACCAGAGTACCAGCTAGGCAAATAATGCGATAACCATGTACAACAACGCATTAAACAATCGTCAGCCGTTGCTGATTCAATTAATTAATTAATTATAAAATAAAAGTCATATATAAGGGAAAATATGAGTGAGCCAAGGGTCACAGTAATATAAAAACAGTGAAGATATACTACGTATACAGTTGTAAACTATGTACTATGTTTGGGAGAAGGCAGTTGGCATGTATATTAATAAAATATCAAGTTGAATTTGTAACAGTAAGAGTGATTGGGAGTCACCAAAAATGAAACACTTTGTGAGGCTGTGAGCCACCAAGCGTGAGTATGGATTTATTAGAAGATTCATATCTCACGACGGTGTGGAGAAACGAGCCAAAAAAAACAAGAAGAATGCTACACTGGAACAAAATTTTACACCTAACAGAGAAACAGAAAGGTGTATGCTGACTGCTGAGGCATTGATGCATGATTTTCAAAATTTTGTTAAAAATAACATCAATGAAGTCACCAGCCAAGAAGTAGCTTTAAAAGAGCCATTCTGATGTAAAGCCCATTCTTGGCTTGCCTAAAGTATGCAGCCCTTGCATCTCCATCTACATCTACAGTTATCTACAACCCACAATTTAAAATGGTTAAGCTAACAAGCAAATTGAAATAAGTTTTATTGTTTAAGAAGTACATGTTTGTAATAATGGCCTAACCTCATCAAGCCTTGGCAGAGGATGCATGACAATGGCATGCCTCTGTAATGCCCTCAAAACACCTGGATCCACAATATACTTCCCTCGGGCTTCTTCATATAAATCAGTTCGCTCCCCAAACCTTTCTCGTTGGATGCGGGTTTGATACAGAACATCACACTTGGAAGCCACATCCATTAAATCGGCACTTTCTTCCCAGTCAACTCCTTCAGATGTAAGATATTCCTTTATGTCATCCTGCAAAAAATAAATGAATGCATGGGATGTTTCTCTTATTACAAAGGGTATGCTGGACCTCTGAAAATGCTAAGAAAAAAAATAGGGTCAAAAATAGATCAGTTTGAAAAGAAGGGAAAATTGGGGGCTGACTCCCATCTCAATTAATCAATCAATATACGATATTTTTCAAGATCATTTTAATTTAGGATGTTTTACTTGGACTGTTTTTGGTCCAAGACCAGACCAAACTTGACTTAAATAGATCAGGCCAGACCAAACTTAAAAGATCATACCAGACTTCGAGAGTTATAAAATACACACCAAGGTAGTCAAAGTCGAAAGGCGCACCTGAAGCGCTGGGGGTCTTCTAGCGCCTGAGGCACAAGGCGCAAAAAAGCGCTCGCCTGACTCGGGTGAAGCGCATTACTTAGATAAAATCACATATACTATTCTATACTTGCCAAATATGATGTATGTAACATCATATTGAACCAAATGCATATAAAATTCAGGATTCACCAAAATAAAGTCATGATTCACAAAAAATAAAACACCAAATTCAGAATTCATGGCTTTAATACTAAAACTATAAATGAAAGACAATCAAATTGGATCCTATTTCCCCTTGTTAAACTTGTGAGCCTACATAGTACTATTACTTTATTAATAACATAGCAATATACTAATGTTGTGAGTAACATAAAGTAATACAGAGTATTATGACTATTATATACAAAGCAATATACTAATGTTGTGGGTGATATAGAGTAATACCGAGTACTATTACTTTGTTATATACATAACAATATACTAGTGCTGTGAGTAATATAGAGTAATGCAGAGTATTAATACATTATTATGAGTAATATAGAGTATTATATACATAGTAATATACTAGTACTTTATTATATACACAGAAATATACTATAAGAGCACATATCTTGTTTAGTGGTGTGAGGGAGAACTGAGTTTGCTTAAGATGATGAAGAAAACAGAAAGAACTGGCTGGTGTAGAGCAACTTGAGTGAGAAGAGTGAGTACGCTGAAGAGCCGATGATGGCTAGCGATATCACTTAAAGGTTGTACATAAGGTTTTACATTTTTACCTACTTTACATAAAGGTTTTACGTAGGTTTAAATGGTTTTACCCTATTATTTAGATGGGCTGAGTGTTATTAAAGATATGGGCTAATTATTTTTTAATGTTTTAAACCAAAAATAAGGCTTGTCATCCTTTTCCAGATGAGGCGACCCAGGCGTGCGCCTTTTCCACTTCAGCGCTTCATGCGCTTAATGCGCTTATGTTGCGCCTGACCCAGGTACGTGCGCCTCCCCTTCTCCCAAGCGCTGAAGGCCCTGCTCGCTGCGCCTGGTGCGCTTAAGCGCTGGGGCGAGCGCTTTTGACTACCTTGATACACACAGACCAGACCAATTCAGACTAGACCCATACTTTAACAAACCAGACCAATTCAGACTAGACGCATACTTTAACTGACAAACCAAATAATATCAGACCAAATCAGAAAATTCCAACCCAATTAAAACATCCTTAATATTTTTTATGTAATATTTCAAGATCAATCAAAGTTCTCAATCAAACTTGGTTTATGTCAAATTTTCAATGTTTTTAACCAAAACATAAAGCTATTTTGTCTAGTTTTTATGTAGAAAATGTTGAAGAAACATTTCTTCCTATAAAAACATTTCCCCACTTTCTACAATTTTCCTTATTCCAAGAAACAAGAGCAAGAAAGCAGTCACAAGACTACATTTACGAATAATAATTGCATAAATACATTCAATATAATTATTAAGTGATTTATCAAGAAGTATAAGGCAATTTTTTACACCACATATTGGCATCCTCCTACCTTCATTTTGACCACATCGGGGGAGACAAAGTAAATCTTCACATCCTAGTATTTGGTGAGAAGATAAGCTAGTGACCTAACTGTCCTTCCATTAGCAAGATCTCCAACGAGAGCAACTTTTATCCCATCAAGTTTTCCTATTTCTCTTTCGATGGTGTATACATCCAGTAGCGCCTGCTCGTGCAAAAAACAACTGCTTCAAAACTTTCTACTTTAAGAATACAGAAACCATGCACAATGACTTGTTCTCTCCTTCTAAAAAAAGAAGGTGATCTGGTCTGAATCTTTCTGGTACAGTTTGATTTGAACCTTTCCGGCCGGGTCTGAAGCTTTGTGCTTTGGCCTAGTCTATGGTTTTTTTTCTGGTCTAAGAATAAGCAGTAAGAAAAACATAAAGGTGACCAGAACAACACATATGAATTGGATCTGCTTGGAAGTCAGTTGTCACGGACTTGTTCCCAAAGATTGTGACATGAAGTTCTGGCTTATAGCCTTTAAAGCAGAATGAGTAGCTTACGCGTTTTGATTTTCTTAATTGGCTGAATTGATTGTTACAAAATGTTTTTTCGATTCAACAGATTCAGTCATTTACTACATTAGCATAACCTCAAACAGGGCCTTAAAATGGCATTTTCACTTTCTAGAATAACATAACTGGTTTTTAATATTATTACTATCCACATGCACCTCCACGCACGAGAGATCCAACCTAAAGTTCATAGGTTCAAAATAAAAACAAGAGGAATCAAATTCTACGATTCTCTGTGAATTATCAAAGACAAAAAAATATTTCTTCTTGCAAGTTCATCACCGGAGCTACAGACTTATCAAAAGGTCATTTCACCAGGCCAATAAGATCTTCTTACTCAGGCAGGTGTTTAGGTTGTTGTATTAGAGTTATTATAAGTGAAGGTTTCTCATTAGCAAATGCCTGCAGTTAATAACCACAACAAAATTATAACAGAGATACAATACATGGAAAACCACAGGACACATGGCATTTGAAAAAAACACTCCCTCTGTTGAGAAAACAATTCTCTGTTGAGAAAATTGAACAAAGAATTAATTTTTCATTGTGCTATTTGTTTCTATGGTTTGGTACAATGAAGCATATTAATAGAGCTTAAGTCACACTCCAGTTTGAGAGGTATAAAATTTCAGAAGAAAATTAAAAAACAAAACATATTTTGTTCCACTCATTTTGGTAATGCTATTGGCAAAGAAAAAGCATCTATCTTTTGCTCCACTCATTCTCAACCATTTAAAGAAATGAGAAAATAAAAATGGGATGCTACAAAATAAAAAATAGAGTAATATTTCGTGGGTAGTAGTTCCATATTTGATTATGGGTGCGCAAGTTGAAGGTCTGGTAATGCATGAAAGAAAATAAGAAATGCATGCAAACATTATATTCAATGTTGTGGTTCTCCAAAGTGAATAGAAAAGTATACTGCACATCATGAGAAATGCAACCTGAGTTGGGTGTTGACCGGGACCATCTCCTGCATTAATAACGGGAATGCTGGCTGTGGCTGCTGCTCTTCTGGCAGCACCACTTTCAAAGTGTCTCATGACGATTATATCAGAGTAGCCTTCAACCGTTCTTATTGTATCTGCATATTAATTAAATAAAAAATCACAACTATAAACCTACAAAAAATTCATGTAAAACCATCAAAATTCAAAATTATTATCCATAACTAATTCTACCTTCCAGTGTTTCTCCTTTTGCTGCAGATGAAAACTCACGTGCATTTTCTGTTGTCAGAACTTCCCCACCAAGACGTTTCATGGCAGACTCAAATGAAAGCCTAGTCCTAGTGGAAGGTTCATAGAAAAGAGTTGCCATCAGATACCCCTTAAGCATCTGGCTTTCAGGTGATCCTTTCTCAACATCTTCCATTTCACGTGCCACTTCAAATATAGCATCAAGTGTACTTCTATTGAATTGTTGAGCTTCAATTACATCATCAAGAATAAACTTGTTTCCCTTGGTGAACAACGGTTTGCTTTTAACTGCTACCGCTCTGCAATGGGAGCTGCTATCCCTTTGCAGACTCCTTGCAACAAGTTGGTTTTTCACCCATTTCTCATTAGAAGTTAAAAGTGAACTTTGCACCTTGGATATAGATTTCATGTTACGACTGCGGTTGGAGCAGAGATTGAGATGGTAGCTGAACATAACTTCATTATGACAGCCACTTGTAGAACATGTAGCCGGAGAAGCCATGACGATATATGGAATCAGCCCAACTGGATGAAACAAAACCACATCAAAGTAAAATCTTTGCAATTTCAATTGTTCAAACTCAAATGCTTTGTGCATTTAGACTTTGCGCAGACATGAAAAAATTATGAAACAATTTCAAATAATTCGGATGATGCCTTTGAACAAGTTTTTCATGCAAGAGTTATCAAAAATCCATACATACAGACACACCTACGTAATTTTACTCAATACGTAGTGGGTATTACGAGAAAAGAGAAAACTGGGGAAATCTCAAGATGTTGAAAGCTAATGTAGCTTAGACCAAATTTTCACACATTGGGTGTTGAAGTTAAATTAAAAACATATTCAATTGTTGCTGCTAGCAGCGGCGGATCTAGCACTTGTATTTTGGGTGTTCCGAATTAATTTTAAATTAATCTTAAGAACAATAATCTTGTGTGAATGTGACGCATTGATGCAACTATGCCACAATTGTATACCACGTATATGTCAACTAAAACCCGAGAGAACCAGAGAGCAGCAGCCACAGCCAGCATTCCCAGTTAATCACTTTTTACTAAAACCCAGTTAATCCCAGGGAATGCTGGCTGTGACATTTTTTTTTTTACTAAAACCCGAAAGGGTAGGGCTGTTGGGCTTGGCATGAAGCTAACTCGCGCGTGTCTGGAGATGGGGCTGAATTGAATCGCAGGAGGGGTTAAAATGGGCCCGGCCCAAACAGCAGCATCTCATATTTATATCGATGTGACTATGGGTCTGTTTGCAACAGCTTCTGCTTTTAAAAAACGCTTTTTTTAATGAAATGGGGAGAAGTGATTAAATAAAAGTTGATAGTGTTTGAGAAAAAAGTGATTTTGAAAAGTAAAAGTGGGTAGTGTTTGGTAAAATAAGTGCTTTTGTGTAATAGAAAAAGTAAAAGCACTTTTGACGCGGAAGCCGAGAAAAATAAAAGTTGTAGTGTTTGGGAAAATAAGTGCTTTTTTAAAGCCAAAAGCTGAGAAGTGCTTTTTTAAAAGTTGTTGCAAACAGACCCTATGTCTATATAAAACACATGACAATATTACTCGAAATAGAACTAAAAAGGTTTGAAAATTCCAAAATAAGACTGTCGTGTTTTTATTCCCAAAATAGGACTAATTAATGTCATGTTTCGGCCGTACCAGACTTCAAACATGACAGTATTTTCGAAACTTAGCAGTAATTACTCCTATTTTGGGAATAAAAAACATGACAGTCCTATTTTGGAATTTTCAAACTGTTTTAGTCCTATTTTGGGAATTTTCCCAAAAAATATCGTGATAATAAAACTTTTCCAGTCTTTTTATAAAAAAAAAAAGGAAAAATTGATAGTAATAATCCCAACTATTGACGGTCCGCTCATAATAATCCCAACTATTGATTATTACAGAATAATCCCAACTTTAGGGACCTTCCGCCAATAATGGTCCCTATGAATAAATTCTTGTAGTTTCTAAAGTGGATGAGATGAGATATAACAAGTAATCCCTATAAATAATCTCAACTTTTAATTTTTACGCTTAATTTCTATTTAAAATTCACTTTTTATAGAGGTAATATATGGTCATGGACCATTATTGGCGGATAGTCTATATAGTTGGGATTATACAAAAATAATCAATAGTTGGGATTATTTTCAGCGGACCAGCAATAGTTGGGATTATTATTTTCAATTTTTCCAAAAAAAAAAGAGATGATATTTTGACTTTGCACCCCACTTTTAGGGTACTTTTTGGTTGATATTGGACTTTGCGTTCCATTTTCAAAACTCTTAGACTTTGCACCATATTTTCCCTAAAATGTTTTTGCCTTTGCACCCCACATTTAGGAAATTTTCTTCACAAAATGTTGTAGATATGGTGCAAAGTCTAAAAGTTTTGAAAATGGGGTGCAAATTCCAATATCAACCAAAAAGTAGGGTGTAAATTCAAAATTCCCAAAAAAAAAAAACTCTTCCCGTCTAATAATAGCCATATAAGCAATTTCTATTACACGTGGAGTAAAATCAATTGGAAAACCTAATACCACATGATCAACATACAAGCTCATTAACCAACAAACAAAAATTATTCACGTAAATCCTAATTTGTAACTCGCTCTAATATATATTATAATTGTTATGCAGGTGTGGCAAACGGCAAACAAAACTAAAACTTAAATAATTAGTACTTCCTCCGTTCTTTAATTCTTGCAACAGTTTGATATAAACGGCAAACACACAATTTTGACTGCAATTATATTTAATTATGTATTAGTAAACATTATAAAAGTTGATATTTTGGAAATACACATTGATGGGAATTCTATAACATTTTATATGTAATAATTTGATTGTGTATATTAGTTGAAAATCGTGGTCAAAGTAAGGTCTATGAATAGTGCAAATATCACAATGTTGCAAGAATTAAAAAACGGAGGAAGTATAAAATTAAAATGTGTTATTAATTACTCCATACTTGTTACGTAAAGGCGAGCTACAACAAACACAAAGGAAAGGTCCAAACTTTTGGTCTCCCATGTGACTCAGTTGAAGAGGTCAGCAAGGAAATGGGAGCATCGGCTTGATATGTATCCAGTCCAGTCCGAAGCGAAGGGAAGTCAGCGGCTAAAACCTCTGTTGAGGAACGAGAACATACCGAGTTGTGACATACACATGAGCTGCGGAAACGCAGATCAAACTCTAGATACCGAGTTCACCAAACTAACTAGATTTGGAAGGAGAACTAAATGATTTACGATGCAAAGGTGCAACATTGTTTATTAAAAAATGTCATACTTCGTATTAATCTTCACTTTACGAATGCAGTGTCATTTAAAGGAGGCTAGACTTGGATTTTCACATGTCAAAATGTCATCACTTTATATCCAAAAGATAATAGTATGCAATGAAATGAGTGTATGATTGGACAATTCAACTTTGAAGATATTCCTACTTTCTTAGCTTACCGGCACACTCTTACCAATTTACAGAAAAATTGAATTACAAGACATACATTGCTTTATTTGAAAAGTGTAAAATACAAAATAAGAAATTTGTTTTAGTACTATGCATCTAATGTTTCTTTATACGCAGTACATCCGATCAAAATACAATTACTCTCTTAGTCCCGTTGGAAAGTTCCCATGGGCAAATGGCACGGTTTCTTAGGCAAATAGTTCAATAGAGTAAATTGGGTAAAAAGAGAGGAAAAAGAAAATTTAGAAAAAGTAAACACGTAAAGTGAAAATAATTAAAGGGGATAAATTGGGGGAAGAGAAATTGTGAGACTTAACATGACATGAATAGGAAAGAGAAATTTGAATAAATGTGTAATTAAAGAGACTAAATAATTTCCTAAAATGAAATGAAAACTTTTTAAAATGGGACACTCAAATAAATAAAGTGAAAAGCTTTCAATAGGAAGGCAAGAGAATAAATGATTCCACAATATATTTTATTTCTAATTGGCATATACATTAATCAGGAAAATCAACAACCATAATATTAAGTGCAAAACCCAAGGCATAAGTGTTGCTTTTGTACGATGCATTGACTATATTCATGTACTACTCTCTTCAGAAAAATTGGGTATTCTCCATGGCTTTGTCCTATAACTTGTCATACCCGTTTGTGTATGAGCCGAAGCTAACCTAGAAATTTGGGCAGAAACTGGACAGAATTTTAGTTGCTTATTTCTTTCTCCATACAATATCTCCATTATTTTAATGACAATATTCCAACCTTTTTTTTGTAACCTACTCTCTTCGTTCTTTGATAGTTGCAACAGTTTAATTTAACACACTATTCATCATCTTTGTTTTGGCCATGATATTTTATATATATAATGAAATTATTATGTATAAAATATTGTTAAATATCTCTTGATGTGTTTTTCCGAAGTATTAAATTTTTATAATTTCATTAATACATAATTAAACAAAGAGAACAATGTTTAATTCTACCTCCTATTTTGTACAAAAAATCAATTTAGCCCCCGTACTATGAAAATTTCGTCAAATCCAAATCTAGATACTACATTATCGACATACAAGCTCATTAGCCAACAGCGTATCATGAATTGTTGAGCGAAGAAAAATTATTCACATAATTTCCGATCTGTAGCTCCCTTTACTATATATACATTGTTATGCAGGTGTGGCAAACGGCGGACAAAACTAAAAATTAAGTAACACACACAGAAAATAAACACAACTGTTATCTCAATTCAAATAGCACATATGGTTTTATAAATGGTTAAGATTTTGAACACAAAAAAGTATGAAATTATAACTTGTTATTAAATACTCCGTCCGTCCCGAAAAGGTTGGCCAAGGTTGACATTCACGTGGATTAATAAAGTAAAAACTGTGTGGTTGAAATTTGTGTAGAGGAGAGAGAATTAACTTTAATCACATATTCCTTACTTTAAATGGAAATGGCCGATCTTTTTGGGACATCCAAAAAAGGAAATTGGCCAACCTTTTCGGGACGGAGGGAGTACATGCTAAGTAAGGGAGAGCTAGAAAAAACACAAAGAAGAGGTTTGATCTATTGGTCTCCTGCGTGGCTTGGTTGAAAAGGTCAGTGAGGAAATGGAAACAACGGTTTGATATGTACCCGCTCCAGTCCGAAGCGAAGGGAAGTCAAAGGTTAAAACATGTGGTGAGGAATGAGAACATGTCGAGCAGTACATACACGAGAGCTGCGCAACCGCATATCAAACTCTAGATATATACCAAGTTCACCAAACTGACTAAATTGGAAGGAGAACTAGATGATTTACGACGTAAAGATGCAACAGTGTTAAGTAAAAAACTGTCATTTGTATTTCCACATTATGAATGCAGTGTTATTTAAAGGAGGCTAGACTTGGATTTGCACATGTCATCGCTTTTATTTCCAAAAGATGATAGTATTCAATGACATGAGTGTATGATTGGATGTACAATTCAACTTTCAACAGGTTCGTACTCTACCTCTTACAAGTATACTCATATCGTTTTATGGAAAAATTGAATTACAATTCAACTTTCAACAGGTTCAACATACATTGCTTTAATTGAAAAGTATAAAATCTCTAATAAGAGATTTGTTTTAGTATATGCACCTAATGTTTCTTTATATGTAGTACATCTGATCAAAATAAAATTACTCACCTCGTCCCGTTAGAAGGTTCACATGTACAAATGACACGATTTTTAGGCAAATGGTTAAACAAGTGAATTTGGGTAAAAAAGAGAGGAGGGAGACAATTAGAAAAAGTAAACATATAAAGTGAAAGTAATTAAAGGAAGATAAATTAGAGGAGGAGAAATTGTGAGACTTGACATGTAATGAGTAGGAAAGACAAATTTGAATAAGGTGTAATTACAGAGAGTAAATTATTTCCTAAA